AAACAAACAAACAAACAAACAAACCAATTATTTCCCCCGAAAAGTAAGCAAGTAAGTAAATAAATAAATAAATAAAATAAAATTAGTGTACAAAGATTAAAACGAGTAAATAAACTCTGTAACAGTTAACTACGAGCGAAATTATTCAGTTTACCTGTACCTATCTAGAAAAGGCAATCCATTCAATTATCTAAGCCATTCACTTACTAGAAGCTTCTAAGAGCCAAATAACAGTTTATCTCAATAAGTGGTAAATGCACACGTGTATATACCAGTTTCACACGCTTTCCTCCACCTGCTGAAGAAAAGGGTGAGTTTGATGCTACTATAATGTTCCTATTCATTGCGAGACTTGAACAGTTCAGTCCAGATTTTCATCATCCTATACTGTACTGTATTACTACTATGTTTAACTATTGTATGATAATCTCTATCATGACTCCTGCCTTCTGCAATATAGTATAAATGTGACCAAAGATGCTTAAATAAAATTTGTTTCTCGGGATTGAAGAATGAGTTCAGTATTTACACCAAGAGTAACAAAGTAAAAAAAGAGAGAGATAGAAAAGGGGAATGTAAGGTACTTTACCTTGTTTAGATGAAAAATATGGTGGTCTAGATCCGATCAAATTGTCAGAAGCAGGTACTACAAATGGGATTGGCCTCACATGCTTATCTGTCAGGCTTCTGAAGCCGGCTTGTTGGTTCTCAAATATACTTCGAATGTTTTCAAGCTTGAGTTGTACAGTCTGCATCTGAACCTGCAGGTTGTATAAGAATTCTGTGAAATAGTTTCTGAAATGGGGTCATTACAAATTCTTTTACATTTCTCAGACTCAAACAGTCAAAAAATTAATTTAGTTCAAAATATAACTAGAAAATATTTAGGAAAGTAATGGCAACAGATTAGTGGCTTATTTCACATGGTTATAAATCCAGAAGGTCTCAACCAAAACAACTTGAAGAAGAAATTAATCAAGCAGTCATGAAATAGGTCACTACATAAAATGATTCACCTTTCATTGGCTGGAATGGTTAATGGCTGGAAAAGAAGGCATGTTCAGTGTTGCCACAGCTATGTTTCTGACTTTTCTGGGGCATTCCCCTAAGATCTGCAGCTAAGCATGGGTTTAGATACTGCTCCAAACTTACAAGTCATTAGACATTTTAGCAGCAAATAGCAACACAAATGCTCTTATCTACAAGAGTGGAGAGAGTGTTTCATGGCAGCTGCAACGGGGTGGAGCTGAACTAACCTCAATCTTCCTCACTAACACCAGCTTCTGCGGCTCCCCCTTCCCCAAGAAGATCCAGATCCTTCATCCCTTCATCCTCAAACTGGGTAGGAAGCCAGCTCTGTGTCCACAGAGCAGCTGCTGGTGGTCAGTGTAGCACAAAGGAAAGGGTAGAGTGCTCCTGATATGGGCCCAATATTCAAGGACAGCTTTGGGTCTTTCTCCAAGGAATGTGCAAGAAAATGTATGTGAGAGGTCCTAGTATGTGAAAAGGGTTCAAAAATAATGCAGTCAGAGCTCCAAAAGGAAATTACTCTTCATTATAAAGCAAATGTAAGTCTTTGGATTCTTTGATGCTTAACTGTGGCTTTAATATAACCCCTAATCCTTAAGAGAACTGCAATATAATTGCAATGTGGTGTAAAGTTACCTGTGAAAGAGTAAAGCTCTTTTTAACACTACCACAATTATAGTTTTTAAAAATGTATTTACTCGCCCCCAAAAATGCCTCTTACCTTGAGTTCAGGAGATAAAATTACGTCAAATTCATATTGTAGGGTTTCAGGATCATAATTTATAAAGGGTACAGCCATCTCAAGAAAATTTTCAATGTCCTGGAGGGCTTTCTGAGCATCTTCTTTAGACTGAAACTTTTCTATTTCTTGATTAGCGAGAAGGCACTCTCCTTCATCACAGCACTGGCGAGCCTAGTGAGCAAATCGCACAAACACACACACACACACACACACACACAATGAATGAAGAAAGAAATATGTTTGTCCCTTGGGAGAGTGTTTATCAAGCCTCACTTCTGTGAATCAGAGTTGTATTTAGAGCTGTTAAATAATAAAGATATCTGGGTTCAACCCCCAGAAATGCTGATTCAGTAGCTCTGGGTGTAAGCCAGGCATTTTTATTTCTACAGCACTCTACAGGTATGTCTGATGCACGGCCAAGGCTGGGAAGTGGTGCACTTATTTCATAACAAGGAATTCACTCTGCAGCATGAGTCTGACCATTCTCTCCACACTAGCACTTGAGCTGCATCCTAGTTGCCCCAAATCAATAACTGAAATAGAAACTCCTAGCAAAATGTCAAGTGTAATATAAATGCGTAATGATTGCCGAGGACAGATAAAAGTTTCCTTGCCAGAGAAGGCGATGTAAAGATGAAAATGTTCATGTTCAGATCCAGTGCCTATAAGTGATACCCCTATTTTATATTCCACTGCCACAATCAGAGCCTCTCTCCACTGCCCAATCATCAAAGGGGTCAGACCCACCAGCCACGGAGGAATAGTTTCCAATCACTGTTTAATTTTTTTATTGCTGTAACTATGAAATGTGGAATGAGTGTCTAGACTTTAGCAAAACGCCCCCAGGGCTTCTAAAAGTGTTCTGATTGCAAACTATCACCAGAGCGGAGGCTTCAGAAGCGTACCCAAAATAGGGAGGAAGCCATCACAAACACCATCTCAACAGTCAAACAGAGGCTGAAATTCTTAGAATCCTGGACCTGCTGTGGATACTCCCAAGTAGAAGGAGTTAATAAATATAGTCAAACTCAGGCCTTCAGATGTCTTACAAACTTGATTCCAAAGCTATGTACCAGACCCTCATCCTATAACTCGGGGAAAAAATGGATCTTTTTCAGAAATGTGCCATATCCCATGACACTACCTGCTGTAGGAGTTTATGCATTTTGAAGGTCCTGCTGAGCTGTATCCGTTTGGCTTTGATCTCATTCACCAAAATATCGGAAAGGTAACGTAGCTCATTGCACCTCTGGCAGATCAAATCCAGGGCATAGTGGTGACTTGCTGCAAGTCTGTGTCCGTGTAATATCACGAACCGGGTCTTTGCCAACAGATCCTGATGTGAAGAAAGAAGGGAAACAATAACCACATGATCTCTGTCCAAATGGAGGGGGAAGAGCAAGTAACTGGGCAGCAACTTGGCTGAGATATTATCAAAAACATGGTTTGGTGGCATACTTCTGCAGGCTGCAAAAAAGCCCACAGTTATAGCAATCAGCTATCGCGGTGACGTCATCAGAAGCTCAGGTGCTTCTGGTAACAGAAATAGAAAACGAACCAGCCCGCCCAGAATGTGGATGAGATTTGCTTCTCCTGGTATGTGGAGATTTAGAACAGAACTGCATAGAGGTAGACGCCAGCCAAGGGAAAGCTAAGGGATTTCACATCATCTCCACCTTGGAAACCTCGTTAGATCCAGTTGGCATCTACCTGACTGCTTTACACACCTGAAGTGACCATCACTGCGTTCCCTTGTCAAAAGGGATGTCAGCAGCCTGGTTTCCACCCTATCAACTACTGACTGCCCCCCTCCTTGTGAGTACTTACTATATATCCATATACTCAAGTACCGTGCTAGGTGTTTTATCTACAGCATCTAAATAAATCCTACAATCACTCTGCAAAGTAGGTCATTACATCCTTAATTTATAGATGAGGACACTGAAGCTTAGAAAACTTAATTTACCCAAGATCACACAGCTAGTAAGACTAAGTAGATCTACCTGTATGAATCTATGCATATATCAAATGATGGTTATTTAAGGAATTATGTTCTTGTATGTTTCCATCATTTCCAAATATCAAATAACATTCTTGATAGACATGTTTCTAGCTTCTTCAAAATGATTTCTGCTCTTGGTGGACCTGAAACAGTTACAACTATGTGACATATTTGCTGGGTCACCTCAGGCCCACGCTGAACAGAAACAGAATATATCCTTGAGGAAATTGGACCCCAAAGATGACAGGTGAGGAGTTTTTCAAGTGTGTCCATGTTCTACTGGAGATCAAACAAGTCCAACTGAAAGAATTATGGGCTGACTGACATGACAACAGTTGACTGAGCAAAAATTCTTTTTGAAAGGGCTATCCTAAAGATTACAACTCAAACATTGGAGGAACTAAGGTGATGGGCAGTAGAAGGAATCAGAACATGTGAAATCCGTAAAAAATTTATTGACTTGAATATACACAATTTAAAAAAAAACTTTACATTTTTTGTAAAAGAAAAAACAAAAACAGAATATAGACAGACCAATATTATTGAACGAATTATACAGATTGTTGCTATGAGAGATTAATCATAAGAAGAGTTTATACTACTAAAAACCATCAAAATGTAACTATTATACTCCACAGAGAGAACATATAAAATGCAATCTTACCTGAGAATTTTCATCTAAGCTTTCCAACTTTTTAATTTTTTGTTTCACTTGAGCTATATTCCCTGTTACGTCTGCCAACTCTGCTTGTTGATTTAAGAGAAGTTCAACTTCACTCACGAGCTAAAAATAGGGGGAAAAAGTCTTAAAAGCATACAAATTATTAGGTATTTCCCCTTAATAATCAAGTTTTGTAGTAAATGCTATTAATTAAGAACATCAATATGGAAAAACTGCACATGTGGAAAATGTTTTCAGTTATTTTATTCATAGAAATCAATATAATCTGTTAAAATTTAACCCAGTAGACATCAGTATGTACTGATGATCTATGGATACGTATGGAAGTATATATATGTGCATATACATGCCTATATATTCCCTAGCTCTATGGTGAATGGTTCTAGAAACAAAGACTCTTTAGCAGCTAGGAACACACCTAGCACCCAGATCTTGGTCTTTTAACATCAATTTCCAGAAAAAGAAACTGGGGCTTCTCAGGAAAATGGCTGGTTCCAGGGCTAAGACAGAGCAGGAATAAGATGAGCTTGGAACAGCTCTTTACACAAGAAAGTAAAGAAGTGATTAAAACGTTTGGACATGTCACAAGGACACAGTAGCCAATTTGAAATGCCAAAACAGTTAAGAACGGTAATGAATTAAAAACTAGGAAGCCATGAACCCAATAAATAGATAAATACCAAATAGCATTCTCGATAGACATTTTTCTATCTTCTTCAAAATGATTTATGCTCTCGTTCCTATTGGTGGGCCTGAAACAGTTACAACTACAAGACATCTTTGCATGGAAAAATCAGCATTTCACAACCATCATAGTGAAGATTGCTTGACATAGGAATCATCAAGTGATGCTAAACTTATGGAGAATTTTTGATGGGAAGCAAGATATTTGCATGGCTTTAAATTTTCTCTCCACAGATTCCATACCAGTTGCACGAGGAGGGAAAGAAAAGTTAACTATACAGTGGAGAAATTCAACAGCACGCTGACAGGGTGATCAAAACCCCTACCAACAATGAGCGGCAGGTGGACCTCATCTACCTGCAGATGTGATACCCTCAGAAGGACACATCACTTACCTAGTATTCCTGCTGGTCATGCAAGATTAATCTAATCATGAGACAACATCAGACAAACTCAAAATAATGAGCAGTTTGTTTCAAAAAATGACTGTTTTTTTCCAAAAGACCAGTGTCATAAAAGACAAAGGCTATGGAAATGTTAGAGATTAAAGGAGACTAAAGAGACATGACAACTTAATACAATTCCCGACCCTCTAGACTGGATCCTGTACTGGAGGGGAAAATGATATAATGGACATGATTAAGGCAATTGACAAAATTGGAACGCTGATGGCAGATAATATAAAAGTATTGCATGACTGTTAAATGTATAAAATTTGATCACTGTACTGTGATTATACAAGAAAATATTCCTATTCTGTATGTTTAAGAATATCTTAAGCTTGAGAATATTCAAATTTTTTTGTGAGTCTGAATTTCCAAATTAGCTTTTTTTAGTTGCCATTTCTAAATATGCAGAACCTATCTGCATGTCCCTATGAGATACGGATCGTGTCAGTGAGAATACCATTCAAGACAAACGACAACAACACTGGTCAGAGGCAACAATGACTTCAAGAAACAGAGTATAACCACAGGACAAGAATGTCACATGGAGGCAAAGTAACGTATAAGTAGAGGCACCATGGATTTGTTCAAGAAAAGTGTTGTTTTTGCATGTGTTTGGTTGGGGAGGAGGGAGAGACACAAGTATCTGGAAGGACCAAGAGCAATCTGACCTATTCTTCTGCTAAGAAAGGTCTCATGGAGAGAATGGCACTTCAAAATCTGTCTGAATCCCTGGAGGGAAAAGGCTGGTAGTAAGCGTCCGAATGCTGTGCCCCTCCCTGGACTAACTCCGCGAGAACAAATGCAACGCCAAGCAAGTAAGCCATGCGCGGGCAGAAGCCAGCTGACCACATGCACAAGGGTGAGGAGGTGAGTTTTCCTTGGATCCCTGGGAAAATTCTACAACAGACACTGTGAGGAGCTTGGACGCTGACTACAAAAGAAAAGAAGAAAATAAATCCATGTCTCTTGACCATACAGGATGGATATTCCAGAAGGATGGAACTAGAATAAACTTGTAGCCTTTTAAATAATGTGTAATTAAACATGGTTTAGTTTCATCCATAAGGCTTTCCATAGAAATAAATTGCTAGATCAGAAAAAAAATGTTTGGTTACAGTATATTAAATATGGTTAGCATAGGGATATGGTGTTTAAAATATCTTGGAGGAAGTTGGTGTTATTTCCTTGGAAAGTTATCCCATAGTCCAAAAGTATTTTATATCTAAAATAAAATTGAATAAGAAACATCAGTGTAGATAGCAACTTTGTCGCTGTCATATATGTTGGCACTCAAGTGTTCTCTCATAGAAATGAATAAAGCCAGAGAAGTCTCAGCACCTTAGTAGCTGTTTTCTTCATTCTCAGTCAAGGCTTACTCACACTTGCCTCCTTTTCACCTCTCTGGGTATAAATGGGCATCTTGTGAGACTGTGTTTCTGATGATCAAGGAGTAAGAACCTCCAGCATAATGAAAAAAAAAAACTGTATCAAGGAATGTTTGAACTGACCTCTTGAAAATCTTGCTCAAACTTCCAGAGTTGCAGATATTGCTCCATTTTTAGTTGGTGTTTTTCCCAAAATCCATCAAAAGCTATTTCCATGTCATGTACTTGAGTCAGCAATCTTAACAAAGAAAAGTCATAGAATTCCTTTGAAAAAACAATCTGTGTTGCAAGTATATAGATAAACTGGTTTGGACATTAAGAATTACGAGCAAGTCACAGCCCATGACATGTGGTCCAGGCAGCAACCATTAGTGTCCACTGACCTTCCTCTACAAGCAAACTAATCTCTGTGAGACAACTCAGGAAGGAGTTCTCAGATTCCCAGAGGTCCAGGAATACTTTCACACTTAACAGATTACAGCAAAAATGGATTGTTCTCTTTCAAAAGTATAAAATAAGTAACTCCTAATCAAAAAGAGTACTACTCACTTATTAATCGTTTGCCAGTCACCGCTAATTTGCTGATGATGTTCAAGTCTTGAACTGACAGCATCTCCGGTGTCAGGCACTTCCAGATTTGTTAGCAGAATTTTTCCTTCTTTGGTTACAGCTGTAATATCATTCTGTACAAAGGCACAATAGGAGGTGTCAGCCTGTTGGTGACTTATTCTGAATGACCTGGGGAGAAGCAAGCATGCACCAACAGCATGCAGAATAGAAACAGCAGTTCTAGAATGGCCTTTGCTTTCATAACTGAAAAAATCAAGGAATACCTCAGTACCACAGAATCCAAAAGCTGTGAGGATCTCCAAGAAGCCTCTGCCTATTGAGATGGACATTGCGATCACTATTTTTATAAGATCTTTACAAGTAAAAGTACCCCATGCTCCGTTTGTAGCATCCTTCTCTCAGTTCTAATTTAATATGGAAGCAACCTAAGTGTCCATCGACAGATGAATGGATAGAGAAGATGTAGTATACATACACAATGGAATACTACTCAGCCATTAAAAAGAATGAAGTGCCATTTGCAGAAATATGGATGGACTTGGAGGGCACTATGCTAAGTGAAATAAGTTAGACAGAGGAAGACAAATAGTGCATGATATCACTTATATGTGGACTCTAAAAACTAAAACAAACTTCTGAATATAAAAGAGAAACAGACTCACAGATAGAGAACAAACTTGTGGTTACCAGTGGGGAGAGAGAAGAGGGCAGGGGCAAGGGAGAGCTAGGGGATTCAGAGGTACAAACTACTAGGTATAAAATAAGCTACAAGGATATATTATCCAGCACAGGGAATATAGCCAATATTTTATAATAACTATAAATGGAGCATAACCTTTAAAAATAGTGAACCACTACATTGTATGCCTGAAACTCACCTAATATTGTAAGTCAACTATATCTCAATTTAAAAAGAACGTTCTAATTCATTCTGTTCTATTCTCCCAATGTTTTTAATGTGTTCTAGTAAAGCAGTAGTACCATAATAATATAAAGAACTACACTACAGCATACAGTTATAGGTAATATTTAATGTACATTCAGATATAGTTAGATGTCCTTCCTACTAATCCTTAATTGTCACCAATTACTGCCTGCCAAAAGAATTATGTTACTTCACACTTGAATTGACTAATTCTCCATGAAGCATGTGCTTCTATTCAGAAGGTCTTAACCTTAGAGGGTTGATCTTTCAGGCATCTAAGAGTGATCTACGACTTCCTTCAGGAGATCTAAGGGCCCTCTGAAACTTTAAGCAAAAATTTGGATGGACATGGATTTTTCTGGGTTCCATGATACCACCACCAATATGAAAGAAGAACGTAAACATAAAGAGCTAGTATTTATGAAGTGCCGAGTATGTGCCACACATGGTTTTACATACATCACGTACGTGCTTCATGCCATCCTCACGACAACCCTACAAGGTACGCATCACCACCACCACCATCATCATCATCATCATCGCCACCATCATCGGCATCATCCTCATCATCAACCCCATTGAGCATCTAAGGAAAGAGACTCTGAGAGGGTAAGCAAATTACCCAATCAGACAGTTTGTGAGGGACAGAGTTTTTTTCCCTTGAATAGAGTTTTGCTTTTAGATTATGATTCAAAATTTCAGTTTCTCTTCTCAATTCCAAAATGTCACCTCCACGTAGAGCTTGTACCTGTCGTCAGTGCCCCCAGCGTGCCTGTTATCACATGAAGGACGTGAGTTATACAGGGACGCCTGGTGCTTGTTCAGATCATTCTTAAACTTTAGAGGGAAAGTGCATCTAAAAGTACTTGGTGATTGTCTGAAATGTGACTCAGAAGCCTTCAAAACACAACACTCCAGACAACAGGGGAGGAGAGCAAACTCAACTCGCCAACAAGAACTAGTGCTCTGCAGAAAAGCAAGCTTGTGATGGATTTAGCAATGTTTGGCTTGGTCACAATGCTAGTCCACGGCAGCTCTGGGACAAGACTCCTCATGAAGTCCTCCTTCTCCAGTTCACACTGTCCCTGCGCTGGATGTTAAAACAGAACACCTGTCTGCCTCTTGCTTCTCACTCCAGCTTTCCAAATGAGAGGGCCTTTCCCTAAGAAAAAGAATGCACGGTAACAAAAATGACGGTGGATTTCTTATTCGGAGCATTTACAAACTATTCTATTTACAAATGAACAACTTCTCCAGAGAATGCACCATTTCTCTGCAAATGCAAAAAAGGGACACTTCGATTCCGCATATCCAGGACATTGTCCTTTTGTAAAGCATTCTTGTTTTTTTAATAGTGGGCTTTAGAATATAGAAATATGCACAGGTTGGGGTGTAGCTCAGTGGTAGAGTGTATGCTTAGCATGCACAAGGTCCTGGGTTCGATCCCCAGTATCTTCATTAAAATAAATAAATAAATATCATATATAAATAGAGCTTTTGTCTCCCTCCCCAGCAATCTGTGAAATGGACACAGTGAGCATGTCTATAGAAAAAGCCCATGGACAATTTGGTTTGTCCCCTCTATCAGACATACCTTTAACAGGTGGTACCTTTCAGAACGAATTGCCAGAATTTCTTCTATTGAAGGAATATCATCTGGTAGTTCTGTCTCAGCCAGTTCAGTTCCAAAGGACTGTAACATCTGAGCCATGTCTTTCACTGTGAGGGCAAAATTTTCTATAGCCTGCAAAGAGCCCATGATTCTTTTAATTCTATGGAAACTCTGCCAGCACTTCAAACCCTAGATCAGTAATTGGAAACATTATGCTGTACACCAGCAATTGACACAACATTGTGAACTGACTAGACTTCAGTAAAAAAAATAAATAAATTTAAAAACCTAGATCCATAGTGGTATTTATTTAGGTATGACAGCAAACATGTACTATGAACTGTCCTCTGCTGAGGAAAGTTGGCACTGCCCTTGACAATCAATTCTAACTTTGCATTCAAGCCTCTCAGAAACTAAAGTGAGGTGAGGAGTCTTCTTGAATGTCTTTTATCTAAACTTCTGCACTTATTTCTTGAATACCAATGAAAACAATTTCTTAAAGATGCCAAGGGACAACTCGTGTTATAACACTAAGCAAAAAAAGTTATATAATTGTACATCCAGTATTTTCTCAACAAAGTAAAAGACAAAACGCAATTATAAATGACACTAGGGAAACAATGTGAAACTTATCAGCGGTTGCTTTAAATGGTGGGATAGTGACTTGCTTTATTTGTATGTTTTACAGACTTTCCTGCAGTAGGAAAAAAATACAGCAGATTAAAAACTAAAAAATTAGGAACCAAAAAAAAGATGCCATGTACTGAATAATTTGTTTGATGCTCTTGAAAATCAGTGTTTTCCTTATTCTAGTAAACTCTAAATTGTTAAATTGCTTTATAGTAACTTTACTTCTGAAGAGACATGAGAACAACAAAGCTACTTTATATTATCATTCTTCAGCAAGTATTAGCATTCCAAACAAGGCGATGGACTACAGTGACGGAGGAACAATGAGTCACAACATTTCATTTCAGCTACTGCAGAAAATTTGAAAGTGTGGCTCCAAAGGCTCTGTTGCCCTAAAATGTCACGTAAGGTTGCGTGGTTTATTTTGTTTTCAAAACCGAGGACTCAGAGAAAGAAGGACAACATGTAGAGACCACATAAACCCTTTGTTTACCACGCAACTCAAGGTATCCACTCTTTTATTTATAGCTTTACAGGTTATTAAAGGCTCGATACTGATTATTTTGACAATACACTTTCATACAAATGAACAGGACTGCTGAATGAAGGACGAGGAAAACAGAATTCTGATTTAATTAAATATCATTATTTCCTTCAGAAGGGGTTCCCATATCTCTGGGATTTGGAGCAAAGATGCTTCTAAGACAAATTCACAGTGATGAGTCACAGGGACCTGGCTTGTTCGTATGCTTCTAGAACAGAAGGAATCTTTGCTACAAATCCAACTGCCTCGGGAGAATCACTGGGATGATGAGATTAAGAAGATTATTTGCATTTTCTGAGGGCGAGCCATACACCAGGCACAGTGCCAAACACTTCACGTTTGTAATCTCATTTGATCTTCCTAAAATCCTTATGAGGTAAAGTATTATTATCCTCGTTTTATAATAGGAAAACCTGCGGCTGGGAGAGGGTTTGTAAGTTGCGGAAAGTTACACAGCTACAAATCAGCAGTGCTGGGCTTGGAACCCAAACCCTTTGCTTCTTCCAGTTACTACATGGCCACGGGAGGAGGTGGGCAGACAATGATCTCCTTATTCCCTAGGCCTCTCATTCAAGTGCCATCCTCAGTGACTCTTCATCACTTCTAGACATTTCCTATGGGAGAAAATCGGGACGTTGAATTATATATGTTTTTGAAGACTCGGAACCCCAGAAATCTGGTTTTCCCAAAGAGGAAAGAAATTCTCCAACTAGGTTTAAGAGCTACCATGAACTACAGGCTCTCCGGTAAGGGCAGACGAAACGTACATTTCTGAAGATGATCCATTCACTGTGGCAGTACTGCAAGGTGCCGCCTAACTCGGGGGTTAACTGCTTGTCATCAATGTATGTCAGCAAATCACTAACTGAGCTCAGCATAACCACCTATGTAAATAAGCAAGAAAGATACTGTTAACTGTCCTTCGTGGCATCCCTCCATCCACCTGCACAATGAACTTCAGCATTCATTACCACAAAGTCATCTTTTATAAAGGATTCTAAGAATTGTCTCCCACACATACCCACCCCCACACCCACAGGTATACGCTACCTTCCTTCAGGGAGTAACAATTTCCAGTTACAAAACATTTGTCTGCAAAGCAAAAGCAATCTCCATGGAAACCCAAACACCTCATTCTCCCTGATCTCAAAGTTTGCACTGTTCATGGTCAACCTTCTGAAAGAACGTTAAGCCCATAACAGTAGAAGGGCTTTCTGCAGCAAGTTAGAATTTATCAGGAGGGACTGATCTTTTGCAAAAGTACTGAAATTTATGAGCACTCTCTTCCTAACTCTAAAAATGTATAAAAATATCTTTTAAAAAAACACATGGTACTCTGAACTAGCCCAGGATGTAAGTTCGTGGGAGTTCAAATACATAAAACACACACTCCTTTTTTGCCTAAAAATAAAATGTTCTGATTTTATACACACACACACACATACACACATACACATATATAACATATGTGATGACATACATCTTTTTCAAAAGGAACTGCTTTGTTAGAAATTGATTGATCTACTCCTTTATTTTAACAGTAGCAGCAGAAGACTTTTCGGCATTTCAAGTTTACATTTTTGGAAGACAAATTCAACTTTTTTTCTTTTAAATGCTTTGTGACCACATGTAAAACATCAGCAGCGTGGTACCCAGCCTTCACGAGGAAGGGACAAAACATCTAAATAATAGACTCTTACCGGTAGTTTGAGCATGAAATCTTCCTGACTAAATCGAAATCCAATATCTGTGAAAGTTCGTTGCAGAAAACTGGTAGGACGAAGAACCAACACCAAGTGCAAGTTCCCAGGGAAGGAAGCCTGTACAAGGAAAGAAAGAAAAAATTGTCAAAACATGCACTCAACTGAGCACACAGCAGAAAATACATAATTAAACAAAGTTTGAAGTCATAAAAGCCACTAAAGGGATACAACTTTAAAAACGGAGATTGATAAAATCTAAAACCATGAAAATAGAAATAAAACTAATGTAAGGTCATCAGGTCAGATCCTTGTCATGCTCGTGGCGTGGAATTTTCTCACACTAAAGTAAATGCCAAATTACAAAGAATTCGACTCTGAAGCTTCTTTTTAAACTGAGTTATTTGTACTCAAATTGCATTTCATCCCTGTAAAAGAGACCTACGAGGCAGGTTTCTAGAAAAGCCCTAAAAGCCAGAGGGAGTTGAGATACTGTATACTTGGAGGAAACAAGGAAAGAAAACTCCTTTATACACTCATATTTTTATTTCATCCAAGCAACATTCACTGAATATCTTCTGTGTGTCTATTCCATGTATTTAAGTGAACGATTACCAGACACTGTTACCGTTCAGTGTCCACAAATTAATAAAATATAGTCCCTCCCCAGCTTGCAAGAAAATGATAGCCTAATAGTAGAGCCCATTAGTATCATATACTCTATAGCATGATAAGGTGATAAACGAAACAAAGGAATTAGAATAATACACAGCAGGAAGTGACAGCACAGAGCATCCTAGACCTAGGAGTGTCAAAAAAACGTCTCGAAGCATAAGGAGGAATTAAATCGGCTCAGAATGTTGTTCTGGTGCGCCAGTGTTTCCCGGCTTCTTAGAATACTGGCACATGCAGATGGTCAAGAAATAATTGCTAAATCAAAGAACGCAAAAGGCAAGAAGGGCACTGTGCAAAATTAGTGCAGGGTGGGACAGTAAGCCTGATATTAATAACAGACCACCATGTAGGAAACGCTTACTATAAAGGAAGTATTTTGCCAACATTACCACAGTTCCTCTTTCATGATAATCCTGTGAAGCAGTTAGGCTATCCTCTTTTACAGATAAAGAAAGTGAGGCTCAGAGAGTTTAAGTGTAACTTGACCCAGCTGGTGAAGTCTGAATTTGCACCTGAGTCTGCCCCACATTGAGGCCTCAGTTGGGAAAGCTAGAGGCAAATGCTGCTGGGGTGGGGCAGGGGGCGGGGAGGGGTAGCAATAGGAGATGGTACTAGAAAGATGGGTAGAAGCCAGATCAGGAAAGACTTTGGGTTTTTCCCTGGAGGCAAGGGGAGCCTCTTAAGAGTATTTAAGCAGCAGAGCAACACAATCATTGAGATAGATCACTTTGGCTTTGGCAAATGACTGGATGGGACAAGAGTGGAAGCAAAGAGATGAGCTAGAAGGCTGGAACAGTAATCCCAGCCAGGGATGATGAGTTTCTGAGCTGGAGCAACAACAGCAGGGATGAGGATAGAATTTAGGATTTACAATCCGCAAGGCATGGTGATTGGATGTGCCTGATGAGAAACGACAGACTAGGACAATCAATTTCCAGATTTCTGGCTTGAGTAACTGGATGAATGGTACAATCCTCACTGACATGGGAACACAAGAGAAGCAGGTTTTTCAGGAGGGGAATAAGATACTGATTCCCATTCCTGGACCTGCTGGGTTGGCAGGGTCACCAGAACAACAAGATGATGTCCATCAGACAAATGTACATACAAGTAAGGAGGGAAAGAAGTCTAAACTGGGAATGTAGAATTGGGAGTCATCAGCCTCAAAACAGTGGATTAAAGCATAATAAAGCAAAATATGTCAGCTCAGTGGTAGAGTGCATGCCTAGCATGCACAAGGTCCTGGGTTCAATCCCCAGTACTGCCATTAATAAATAAATAAATTTTAAAGACCTACTTACCTCCCTCTAACAAAAAAAAACCCATGAAAATGCAAAATATGTCCAAAATGCTTAAAATACAGTCATCTTTCAGGCATGCTGAAATATTAATGATTGAATAAAACTATAAAACAAAAATTAGTAAGATATCATGGGGGCAGGGGTATATGGGAACTCTGGACTTAGTGCTTGCTTTGAACCTAAACCTGCTCTAAAAAATAAAGTCTATTAAAAAAAAAGAGTAAGTTTCATAGAGGGATAAGACCTAGACTCTCAAAAGACACTCAAAACTGGAGGTCTTTAAAATTCAACTTGAGATGGTGATAAAACACAAAGTAGCAATGAGAACTAGAGTGAGGGAACGAGAACTGAGTGTGAGACAAATAGGTCAAAGAAAGGAGCACAAAATTAAATCAATAAATTAAACAATGATTGTAACTGGGATGCCTCAGAAGTTCCCCAGGTGGCCATACCTGTGCTACCCTGTCCCTTCCTGAAAAACTACTTCCCGTCTGCTACACACTGGATGTTTATGCCCCCCCCCAATTCATATGTTGAAACATAAAATACAATGTGAGGGTATTTAGAGGTGGGGCCTTTGGGATGTGATTAGTTCACGAGGGTGGAGCCCTCATGAATGGGATTAGTGCCCTTACAAAAGAGGCCCCAGAGAGCTCCCTCACCTCTTCCAACATATGAGGACACAGAGAAAAGACGGCCATCTATGAACCAGGAAGTGGGCTCTCACCAGACACCGAATCTGCCGGCACCTTGATCATGTACTTCAGACTCTAGAACTGTGAGAAATAAATTGCTGTTGTTGATAAGCCACCCAGGCTGTGTGTTCTGTTACAGCAGCCCCTTGGACTAAGACAACCTCTTATTATTCTTACCATTGGCTCTTAATGAGAACTGTTATCTTTCTACATGACCTTGACCTTCTAACACACAATGATTGGTAGTGAGATGGAAATTTGATGGAAGCAGAAACAAAGTCTCACTCTAGGATTTTTCAAAGGAAACTTTGAGGGTGCAGTTCCAGAGCTCCTGGTAGCCATGATTCCTGCTGCTAGAGAAAGCTTATTCCAAAGAACAAAGCCAACACGTACAGAGAACTGGGAATAGAGACAGAAGTGATATCCAATGATATCCAAATGATAATGGATTATATACATAATATATATTTTATTTTATGCTAAGAACTTTCCATAGTTATTGTAAGAATTAAAAGAAATAATGAACATAAAGACACTCTGTCAAATCCAAAAAAAATCAATGAGATAGTTTTTAAAATTTACTTTGGGTTCTTGGAACTATGGACAAGCAGATTTAGATAGAAAACTTTCTTAAGATACGGATAAAGACTTGCTTAAGGGGAAACTCTGATAGGGACTTGTGAGAACTATGGACCTATTTTTAGATTGAGAGCACTCATTCCATTTCTATCCCATTCATTTTAGGAGTTAAGCCTTTCTTTCTCCATGTGGGCAAATAACCAGCTTTATTATTACACTTACCTGCCTTGACCCAGCTTATTTTGTGACTTTCAAATGAAACCGAAAGCATTCTACTTTTGCCAACACTTAAAGCAAAATTACTTTTATTCTTTCGTGGATTCTAGGTTGATCTGGTCTCATCGTCTTTTTCTCTCTGACTCTCCTTAATGTCATTTTCTCTGGTATTGTGTTGGAAATCTCTAGATGCAAGACCCTAGGGATGGTCAAGTTAAAGCCGAAAATACCCACCTCCAAAAATGGGGGTGGGGGTGGGGAGGGACACTATGGGAGCAGAGAAGGCCAGGTGGCAACTCTCTGCCTGAGGTTCTCCTAAAAGTACAAGGCTGTCCCAGCAGCCAGGCCGAGGGACAGCTGATCACACAGCAGAGAAAAAAGCAGAAAGCAGAGAGAAGTGGAGTTGCTGTCCACAGAGCCCACAGGGAAGCGAGTTCAGGCGGGGTCTGGGGGGTACCCAGCTGCTCCTGTGTTGGCTGTCTCATGAACCCAGTCATTGCCTCTATCTGATAAAGCGGTCTGTCCCAAACATTGACAGCTGAACAAAATGCTTCTAAAGATAATTCTACGTTCTCGTCAGATCATTAAGTAAAACCTTCTGATTATTTTCTCATACCTTCTCCTTCTTTAATTCTTTCAAAATGTTTAGTGACTTGCTTATCACAAAGCCTACCGAAATGTGCATTGTTGAATAAAATGCACTATCAAGGATGGAAAGGTCACTGATTGCCTGTATAATGGTACTGGCCATGTTTTCAATTATAGGATAATTTTTGGATCTTCATTGAGCGAACATGCAAATCTTCCTAGAATACATGGATTCTGTTAAGCCAATAGCTACTCTCAAATCTAACAGCCGTCTGAAGGAAGAAAAAACTTGTAGGCAATACCTATTGTTTAGTAGACAGAACCACTAAACAACTGGGTGGCACTCAAACAATTCATTTGGTGTGTCAGAGTTATTTTTTTAGGAAACTAAATCATGCAGTTCGGACCAGGTACATTGTTTCCATCTCTTATGTCCCTTAAGTCCCATGTGTGAATCAGATATACTTGATTTTTAAATCCCAGTCCCAGTCACTTATCCCAAATTTAAACAGGTGCTTAGACTAATTATAGCAAATCCACAACCTCACATGACTTTTCATAGCTTCTCTCCAACAACTATATATATATATATATATATGTGTGTGTATATATATATATATATATATATATATATATATATATATAACACACACACACACACACTACTACGTACGTACGTACTCCTACCTACCGTAACGGTAACGGTAAGGTACGGAGAGGTAGTCGACGTCGGTACGGTCGGTACGGTAGGGTGGG